CGGGGAGCGAGAACAGTCGGGGAGCGAGAACAGTCGGGGAGCGAGAACAGTCCGGGAGCGAGAACAGTCGGGGAGCGAGAACAGTCGGGGAGAGAGGTCGCAGGTCAAACATGTGGTCGGCGGCACCGCACATTTGCACACCCATTTTTCCCAGTGACGATGGTTAAGAATTTATACATGGTGTCAACAAGGCGCAACGCGGAGGGAAGCAAAGGGGAGAGACAAATTTCCTTACCTGGAGTCTGGAGCTGCTGTGCATGGGTAGTTCGAATGAGACGACGAAGGGGCAGAGGTATTGGTGCAGTGTATTGAGATCGTTTCGTCTGAGGGCGGCTAGGAGGGGTGCGGGGGTGTTGTGTGCACTAAAAGTGAGTTTGGCGGAGAATCCGAGATCGTGGGAGAAGTCGATGGCCTGACGTGTGTTCCAGACTACCCTTTTTTTGTCTATGCAGACTTTCTGTTTTTTATCAGCGGTTGGGTTGAGTAGAGCGACGTTGGTGACGGTGGCGTAGACGGGCGTGTCCATGGCGACGGAGATGGCGCCGTTCATACCAATGGCATGACTGCCAGGTGATTGTTGCGTGATCCTGCCAACGACTTCGACTCGGTCGGGTGCGAGTACAGTGCAACTTGCGGTAAGGAGGAAAGGGAGCACGTACTTTTGCGCGCGGTATTTCATCAACAAGAACTCACCCTGGGGTGGCGTGAAGACGAGGGCGCTCTGCTCACTGAGTCCCTCGGGATCCACACACTCGTCGAACACACAGTCGTCTAGCACCACCGTGCACTCCTCTGGTCGAACGCGGCGTGGTGGCTGATAATAAAACTCGTTGTCGATGAACATGTCCTCGTTCAGTCCCATCTTCAGTTTCAGCGGTGTACTCAGATATGACTTGACCATGATCGTACCGTCCAAACTGCTACGGATGACGAACCCATCCGTGGCTCGCACCTCTGCATTTAAGCGGTCGATGATGTCAATGAACAGAACCGCGCTACCCTGCTTGTTGATCGGGATCTGACTCGCGTTAGATGGCACCGTACGCGGTCCCGGACCACCGCCAGTTGCACCCTTACCAAAATTCACATTACCGAAGCCTGTAATACCCTCCATCTGACCGCCAGAACCCGACTGGCAACGGCCAAGTGCATTGCCACCAACCGTGGCGCTGCCGCCGAGAGAGCTGCCACTGCGACCGAGAACGCCACTACCAAGACTGGAACCCTGGCTTCCCAGCTGATTAGCTACACTTAAACTCTTGCTCGTAATACTACTCACGTGATCGGCAAAGGTCGTCAACGCGAACCCCGCCGCATCCGATATCCTCGAAACTACGTCGCCGCTGGAGAGACCCGCCGACTGCACACCACCCGAGATAGCTTGGCAACACAGCGAACTCGTCAACTGTTGGGTATTCTGCACCACCGGAATACCGTAGTCGAACATCTCATCCACTATCTCATTCAACAACAGAAAATTTCGCCTCAAATTGTCCTCATTCAACACACCGCACACATCCTTAATCATCATAACCAAACCCTCCAGTAAGTCTACACATACTGACAATGGTACTGCCACGTTACCCATCGACAATACAAAGTACAAACCACTCCTCTTCAAATACGTAAACGTCGTGTCACACTCTGTTATATTCAACACCGGACCACCTGACGGGCCCAACCTCCTACAAACGAAACCAGACATTGACTGTAACGTCGTCCGCTGGTCGTGGTGTTGGCGTCGGTCGTGGTGATGGAGACAGTTTTGCGGCGACGTCTTACCGTATATATTTCAGTAGCAGCTCCCCAATGTTCTTGATATGCCTTTTGCGAAAGGTGCGCTGAAGAATGGCATCACCGCGGGGCCCGATAACAAAGAGTGAGTCAATCATCCCAATTACTGGGGCGGAATTTTTCTACAGATGTTTTTGAGGTCGATTGCGCTTTACTCAGCGGCCGCAGCAAGTGAGTGGGTGGGAAGCCACCACAAGCTGAAGCCCCACGGGCTTGATCAGACGATGGGTAGCCGGGCGCAGGCTGATATGTCGCTCTACTCGCGTTCTTTGTCCGGATTGTTACCGCGTGCGTTCAACGAACGGATCGTGGAGTTACGCGCTCGTCCGAAGAGTTTGTCGTTACAGCCTGTTGCTGACGCGACAAACGTGCAGCCTGAGGAGCTGGTGACACTGAAGTTTTATTTGAAGGACAACCTGATTGAGGACAGTTTGGAGGAAGAGAATCTGGCATTTTTGCCTGACCAAGTTTTAGCCCGAGTTAGTGTGGAATTCGGAGAAGATCTGGAGTTAGTTAGCACCTCCTACGACGTTGAGACATCGAGTCTGACAGTCCAAGTGAGGACAGCAGACGACATCGTTGCCGGTAGCCACCCAGTCACGGTCAACTACCGCCAGCGCGCGTGTGTATCGAACGCGTGTGCATCCAATGCGGACGAGGCATCTAGTGAAGACGAGGGGACGGAGCGGTTGGTGAAAGCAGTGGCGCACGTGCACGCGGATTCCGAGGTTGAGGAACTGCACGTGTTTGAGTTCAATGATATCCATGGCCGGATCGGCTCGGCTGTGGAGGGTGCGAATGCTCAGGGGTTGATTTTCGCGGGTAAGTTGTTGGCCGAGATGGATGGGAAAGACGCGGTGTTGTTGTCTGCGGGTGACAACATCGGTGCAAGTGTGTTTGCTAGTGCGATGAACAATGACACGCCACTGGTTCGGTTGGAAACGTTGGTCGGATTGCAGGCTTCAGTGGTGGGTAACCACGAGTACGACCAGGGTTGGGCGGCGCTGCAGACGCGGCTGGTGGAGGAGTGGGAGGGCATGCCTATGTTGGCGGGCAATGTGAAGTTGCGTAGCGACGGTTCAGTGAGTCTACCTCTTTCAACCGTGGTCACCTCTTCAGGTGGCGATTACAAAGTCTGCGTGTCCGGCGTGGTAACGACCGAGACGCCGAGCATGGTCTCCCCCGCCGGGATTGCCGACCTCGACTTCCAGGACGCCGCCGAGACGATCAAGGCCGCCGAAAGAGTCAAAGACGCAACCTGTGACGCGAGCATCCTACTGGTGCATCAGGGCGCCCCACAGGACGACCCCGAGAACACGTACATGGACGATGTGTTGGCCGGCGATAGTGAGTTCGCACGTGTGGTCTCGGCGGGTGCGAGCTTCGATGCGATTCTTTCCGGCCACACACACCATTACTACCAATATCTAAAGGAGAGGGAGGGGGCATTGGTGCAGCCCATTATCCAGACGGGTTGTTATGCTGCACGCATTGGTCATATCACGTTAACCTTCAACAAGGCCGACCGCAAACTGACACAGGTAGCGTCTGAGTTAATTGTAGTTGACCCTGCCACGGAGGCAGAAAATTTGCCTGGCTGGCTCGAAAAGTACCCAGAACTTGTGGAGATCCGGGCCATGCTGGACGAGGCTTTCACAAAAGCTGACGAGGCAGGGAACGAACAAGTAGGTACTGTGGATGGCGCCATTCCCAACGATATGGACCGCTCCCACGAGTCGCCTCTGGCGGACTTGGTCGCCGATGGACTGCGTTACGTGTGCCAGATTGCTGCGGACAACAATGCTGCGGAAAGTGGTACTCAAAGTGAAATCGTGCAGGCTGCGTTCATGAACCCTGGCGGTGTCCGAGTCCCAATCGATTACAAGGACGATGGCGTCGTTACCTACCGTGACGTGTTCAACGTACTGCCCTTCGCCAACACGATTGTGTGCGGAAACATGACGCCTCAGGCCATTTACGACACACTTGAGTACCAGTGGAACACGCTTCCGCATGGTACGGACGGTCAGACCGCCGGGCGGGAACGTAATCCGCTCATTCTAGGTGTGTCCGGACTTGTGTATGAGTACGACGTTTCTAAACCGGAAGAACAGCGCGTCGTGTCCGTGTTGCTTGTAAACAATGCAACGGGCATGACTACCAAGTTGGACCGCACGGATGATACCACTCAAGTGCTGGTAGCGACCAATGACTTCTTGGCCGCGGGTGGCGACTCTTTTTTGGCCGTCGCAAGGACCAAGGCAGAAGACTGGAGACAGAGCGGCTATAGCGACAGCGAAAGCCTTGTCAAGTACATCCAAGACCACTCCCCCGTGCAGTCCGTCTTCCAGCCTCGGTCCACTCCCTCCGGCTGGCAAGACGTTACCGACACCGTCGCCATTACCGCCGGTTGCACCTCCGACCGGTTCGTCCTCTCAGTCAACTCACCAGACGCCGACCTAGATACAGCCCGAGTCTTCCTTAGCAACCACGACGACCCAGCATCCAATGACAACCTACTCGCAGTCACCCCCATTGGCCAAAACCAACCCAGTACCTTTTATGTTTCCGGCCTCTATCAGAACAACGTCACCGTCAGCGTCTTCTCTGAACTCTTCTCAGGAAACCCCATTCCGCAAGGCGTCAGCGCTAATTTCGAAGCCCTTTGCGCAACACCCACCAACCAAGCGAACGGAGTACACAGCCTTACCGCTGCTGCTCTCACCCTGACTATCTTGGCTGTCTCGTGTATGTGACGCCCCTTACATGATGGTCTTTAGTCTTAGAAGAGGTCTTTGAACATGTCTTGAGAATGCACTCAAATGCTTATTGGCAGACCGTGTGTGCTACGTTGGCACACACCATGGAGCAGCCCATTTTTGCGTTATCGACTCGATTATTACCTATCATTGAGTGGTCTGCTGGTCGTTCCATCATCTGTTCTTATTCACCACTTGTTCTGCCACCTGTCATATGCTGGGTATGGCCCTTCCTCGGCCCACCCCTTCCTCGGCCTACCCCTTCTCATTTGTCCTTACTCGCTTACCGATCAGTTCCTACCCTGCTATGCCCTCCCTCACTCCGATTCCTCCCTACCCTTGGGTTTTCCAGCACAAGTAGAATGCCACGTCCAAAAGTATACTTAAGGTTGCGTCATGATATCCCCGAGTCGTGCTCAAGTCTACAGGTGCTGGATGAAAAGACGATTTTGTTCAGCCCCAGCCAAGTTCCGAGCCAAGGGTCGTTGCGTTGTGAGTTTGCTCAAGTGTTTGGAGCAACGACGCCAAACTCGTTCCTGAACGGTGTGGTGGCAGCCTCAGCGTTGGAAGCCATTGCGCAAGGCATCAACGCCAGCGTGCTTGCGTACGGACCGAGCGGCAGTGGCAAGACGCACACCATCTTGTCGGACGACGGACTCCTGTTCCACCTCGCCGCTTCTCTTTTTCAGCATTGCCCTGGGTCGCTTGAAGTCTCCATCCTGGAATTGTATAAGGACCAACTGAGCGACCTAGCCGTGAAGACCACACAGTGCCGTGTCCCTCCGTCCCCCCGTGTACCCGCATCGCCCGCTCTCCGGCTCCGGGAGAGCAGGGAGCAGCAAGTGTACGTGGAGAACCTAACGCACGTGTTGATCGCCACTCCGGCAGCCTTCCGCGCCCACGTTCAGGACTGCCTCCAATTCCGACGTGTGCACGCCACGCAAATCAACAGCTCCTCAAGCCGCAGTCACTTGATCATTTTTGTTCGGCCCACTGGGATCAACGATAGTGTGGACTTTGTTGGGGGGGGTGTTCCCAGCGAGGAGACTAAAACCACTGCCACTGCGGCGGGCACGTTGTGTGTGGTCGATCTGGCAGGGGCGGAGCGTGCGAGTCGGTCGGGTTGTGAGGGTACGGCATTCGCGGAAGCTAAGCAAATTAATCTGTCTCTGACGGCGCTGGGTCAAGTGGTCTCATCGTCGGCGGCGGGTGCGCACTACCGCGACCATAAGCTGACGCGGCTGCTTCAGCCGGGGCTTCGCGGTGCAGCCGTCGCGTTGGTTTGCTGTGTGGACCCGCGTCACTTCGCTGAGACACACAACGCGCTTCTGTTCGCTAAGAGCACCGCCAACCTCAAGTGCACCCGACTGGCTCAGACCCGGCCGCAGAGCCAAGATGACGTCGTCCGCGCTCTCCAGCGACAGGTCGCGGAACTCTCAAGACTCCTCGCAAACCGAGACTCGAACCGAGACTCCGAACACACGCCGCACGAACCCACCGACACACACCCAATAGAGACGTCACATGAAACCGCTGCAGCCGCAGACGAAGCACAGTGCGTGGATATAGAGTGTGCGAACTCACAGCGTGGGAACGCACATTTTGGGGACACACACCCGGACACAGATCAAGTGGTGATAGCGACTGAGCGGACCGGCCCCGCCACCCACATACACCCGCAGTCCACAGTTCACACACCAGTGCCTACCCACACGGACCCAACGGCCACACCGGGTCGGACGGCGAGCGCCTCAATTCGACTCGCTTCGGCACGTCGGACGCGCCCGACGACTATTGGCTTGGGCGAGAGGCGGACACCCTTGGCCCGGAGCGGATGCCCTTGGCCAGAAGTCGACGTCCGGGACCCGAAGAGCCTGGATCTGAAGACGGATTCTCGCATCCACGACTTGCAGACACAGAAACCCGAGTCTAGTGACCAGGACCTTGGGATGCACCCGTTGTGCTTCTCGTCCAGCCCCGGACAAGACAACGAGACGAGGCTGCTGCCTTTCCTTGCGTCCCTCTCCCCGACCCCTGTGCCCTTGTCGCCTCACGACTCGTTTTTCCGAGACCGTTCGGAAGGCGGTAAGTCACCCGCCAACCGTGCCGACTGGGTAGCTTGCGAGGTGGAGCGCACTCCGGCTTGCACGGGAGCAGATAGAAACCCGTTCAGCGCCCTGTCAGAGACGCATTCCGGATCGGAGTTTAAGATCACTCCTTGCCCAGACTCGTGCGTCATCGAATCGGGAGAGACCGAGCAGTCGCCGCGGACCCTGGTGGAACAGAGCAACCAAGTGCCCGACAGTGGTGCCAGCACCAAGTGCAGCTCGTCATTCGACCGTCTGGCTCTCTTGGTAGACGAGCCGGTGCTGGACGAACGGGTACTTGAGAATGGTGCACCGAACGGCGGCGGTCCTGACGGCGATCCTGTAAACGGCGATGGTCTAAGTGGAGTGCAAGACGACCTGGCCGCGTTCTTGTTTTTGACGTCTTCCATTGCATGGCTCAGGAACGCACTGGGCGAATACGCGTACCGACAGGTGTGTGAAGCGGTGGACGAGTGTATATTGGTTGTAGCAGAAGGAAAAAAATAACTCAGGCCACACACCCTGACATGTACATTTTTGTCATGCCTTGTGCATCATTGCTAAGCCGGAGGGCATCATGGCACATTGCATTATGGCAGCTTCTATTGGCGCCCTTTAGGATGAGGAGGGTTATTGAAGCTTGTATCGCGGGGGATGGGGAAGTTCTCGGCGAAGAACGGGTGCCAGGCCAGGTCCTTGGCGTGCAGGTCAAAGGTCTCTTGTTCGTTGAAAACTTCGGTCATACGAGGCAGCAATTTCTGGAACTTGAATTGGAGCACTTGGTACCAGACGGGCAAGACCTCATCGTCGGAGACCTCATCGTCGGCGACAGTTTGACCTGCCTTTTCGTCATTGTCTTGGTCATTGTCATCGAAGAGTGGGTTTGCGGTAGGTGGGATGGCATCTAGTTGTTTTGCGAAGAGTGCGTCAGCAGCTGATTGTAACGTCTTCACTTCTTCGGGATGTTTCAGTAGGGTCTGAACCTCTTCACCGTACGGATCGTCAGTCTCCAACGGGTGATGCAAGACCATTTGGGGGCAAAGTTCGCGAGTGGGTCTATTTAGTGTTTCATAGTAAGCACGTTCCAGCATGAGACCTTCACCAGGTGCTAGATGAATATGTTTCTTCGGCAATAAAGGCTCAGATGTAAGGTAAGCATGTGCACGTGACGGTGCTGTCCCTATCATCGTCTCCATTGCCAGACTCATCATCTTCCTGATCTGATTGTACAAGAAACTTTCACCTTTCAATCGAACCACAATAAACTCGCACTGGCCGGGACCGTCGGCCGCGACCCCACCTGGAGTAGTGCTGGGGGTGACTCGGTGCACCTCGATGGCGAACAGGTTCCGGTTCGCCGACGGGTCGGTGGCCTTGAGTCGGCTCGTGTAACTAAACCAATTATGCCGACCTAAAAACCGCCCGATGATCGTCTCGAACTTCGCAAAGTCCGCCTCGCTCATCCGATATGACGACCGCGCCTCTCGTGACATCGGCGGCTGCCCAATCGCCAACAACTCCGGCGGCGGGTAGTTCAGCGCAGCATACCTAGTCACACCCTTCGTCTCATCCTCCACCTCAGCCCCATCCTCCACCTGAGTCTCGCCCTCTGCCTGAGTCTCGATTGCCTTTTGTTCGGCGCCCATTTCCTGCTCGGTTGCCAACCCCCCTTCGGGGACACCTCGCTCGAGAGGTGAGCTGCCGTGTATCCGGAGCCAGGCTGCATGGCGTCGCTCGGGACTAAGAGCGGCGTATGCGCGGCGCACGGCGTACACTTCGCGGCGGTGGCGCGAGAGGAGTGGCGCTAACGGTCCCTCGTTCGCCATGTCCCAGGGTACCGAGGCTGTCTCCGCTCGGAGTGCTTCGAAAATGGTTTGCTTCTCTCCGAAGTTTTGCAGCACGCATTCGGCCACGCTTCGGCGCTCGCCGTTGGCGTCGGTCTCGGCGTTTAGTTCGCCACCAGTCGTGGCCTGGAAGGCGTCTTTGTATGGTGTCTCACCCGGTTCCTCATAGTCGGGGCAGAACTCGTCGAAGAAGGTTCGTACCGCCGGCGAGTTGTCCTGCAACACACACGGCCGCAGTACATGCGAAGGGAAACAGTACTCGTACTGGCGCCGCAAACACTGCAGCCGCGCGTCGTATTGGTTCGGGACACGGCGCACGTCGTACAAGACAAAGTCGGCAGGTAGCTCCTGTCGCAGTCGCCGGATGAAGTCCAGCTCACGTTCCCGCTGCAAGCCCTCCACCCTCGGCGACTCAGCCAGATCCTCTTGGAGGCCGTCCTGGCCTTGAGTTACGCCGTCTTGGGTCACCCCTTCTTGGTTCTGGAGTTTGGCTCCTTCGATTTTCAGTTTGTGCTCTTCCGAAAGGGGGCCCAAAGAAAGTCTGCATGTGACTACCTGGCAAGCAGCATGAACACCCTTGTCGGTACGGCCGACGCGGGACCACTGGAGTTTGGAGTAGTGGGCGAGGTGTTCTTCGCTGAAGCCGCCGACTTTGATCAAAGCGGCTTCCAACGCGCCCTCAACGGTAGGCAAGTGGGCCATCGGACTACCCGGAATCTGCTTCTGCATGCCGTGGTAGTTGGAACCGTCGTAACCAAAGAAAATCGCATACTTCCTCTTGGGCATCGCACACGGCGAACCTTGTTCACTCGGGACCCGACTCCGCGGTGGGTTCGCCATCCTCTCTTCTTCCGAACGCCCATGACTCTGCCGCCCGCCCCTGAACTTCTTCTGCCGGTCGCCGCCGCCGCCCTCTTGGCGCCACCGCTTGTCTCTGCGCTGCTTGTTGGACACCATCTCGACTTCTTGTGTTATCGACTGCTGACCTCTTGTTATCGATTTCCTGTTGCTCTACTACTTCCTTGACTTCCTGTTAGTTCCTGGGTTCCTCTGCGTCGTGTTCTATGCACGTCGTGTCCGCTGCTTCGCCTCGCTGGCAGCCGGGAGCAAAATAAAAATGCTTCGTCTGAGGAGTGGCGGCGTCCTCTGGGTTCTTGCACTAATCTTTCTAGCACTCCTGTGCTCTGAGGCAGTCTACACCCACCCGTGGGATAACGGTGTCGCGGAAGTCCCGTCGGAGCTGTTGCAGAACTACTTGACCCTCCATGCCAACGTGACTGTACTCTTTTACGTGACCTGGTGCCCGTGGAGCCGCAAGATGCTACCCGTCTTTGCGGAACTCAAAGAATTCGTGCAATCCAATGTACCACAAACTGACTTCGTTCAAGTCCGCATGGACAGAGCGTCCGTCACCACACAGGACGCCTTCAACATTACCTCATATCCCAAGATCATGCACTTCACCGAAAGAAATAGACACACCACCTACGGCAACTCCATCCAGTTCATCGTTAGCAAGCCCCCACACCACACACAAGGAACGCACACACGCACACGGGAAAGCACACACCCACGATAAGGGCGTATATACATCAGTCCGATAGCCTTTGTTGCGGTGGGCGTATGAGGCATTGGGGAAGCCGATCGTGGTGGACGAGTTGGGTGAGTTGAAGATGTTGGCTCGGGCTTCGGGCGACGACTCATTGGCAGTGTTTGTCAATGCGCACCCTCCCCGAGCACTGAGTAATGAGCCACACGTGTTGGCGGTGGAGACGGCGGACCGTGCAGTGATTGAGTTTTTATCACAGCGCTCGGGCTTCAAAGGCGCAATAGGGAGCAACCCGTTCTTGGCCTTGGTACATCCGTTCGGGAATACGGAGCTGTTGGAATCTGGGTCTGAAAGTGAGGGGGTGGTGTCCAAGGTGGGTCGGCCAGTACGGAACAGTCGTGGCGTCTTGATGTCTATTATTGAGGATGACGAGGGTGAAGGTATCGAGCACATTCCCTATGGTCCGGGACATGTGGACCAGTCGTTGCGTGTCCTTAGTGCGCCCAAACTGACTGACGCGGAATTGGTCGACTTTGTCCGCACCTTCCAGTTCCCCGTCATTACCAAGTGGTCCACGGACTCGGTCGGGCGTATTCTCGAGGTTGGGCGTCCTATGCTCATTGCCGTTGTGCCGAGCAACGACGTGACCGCAGACATCTACAAGGAAATGGAACGGCTCATGAACGACGCCGACAATGAAGACATCGCCGCCGCATCCACGCTCTACGACATGGACCACATCGAAAACGTCTTGTGGGAAGTAGCTCAACGAAACAGACGCAAGATCGTCACCGTATTCAGCGGGACACGCTCTCTGGCGGAACGACGACTGATGAACCTACTCGGACTGAATACCAGCGATCCCGAACCGGTTCTGGCCTACCTCACGCTCAACCCCAGTGGCTCAGGCGTCTATACCCCCGCTCTCAAGTACGTGGCGCCACCAAAAATCGCTTCCCAGCTTTTCCGACTGCAAAAGGAAAGAACCACCTCCGGTCGAGAAGGGCGCCACCAAGGTCTAGGGCGGGCGCTGGACATCACCTCTCGAAAGGACCTCATCGGCTCCATTCAGTCCTGGCTGGACCAGGCTTGGGAGAAGAAGATTCCCCCCACCATCCGTTCCGAGGAACCGATACCAGCCCAACAGAACAAAGGACCCGTCTACCACCTGACCGCCATGGAATTCCAAAAGGAGGTCGTTGAACGCGAAGAAAACGACTACATCGTCGATTTTTACGCACCCTGGTGCGGTCACTGCCGAGTCATGGCTCCCGTTTTCGAAGAAGCCGCCCAGGCCTTCAGACAGGCCGGCTACCGAAATCTTAAATTCGGCAAATTGGACGCCACCGCCAATGAAGTCCTCGGCATTCCCATTGTCGGCTATCCCACAGTCGTGCTCTGGCCCTCGCATGACAAGCGGCACCCCGCCTTCATGAGAAGCACTCCCGGCAATGCCCAACAAATCATTGAATTCATTGCATCAAGGGTACATTACACCATCCACACACACCTAGCTGACACACACCTAGCTGACACACACCTAGCTGACACACACCTAGGTGACACACACACACCTAGCTGACGCACACTCTGTTGTAGTCTAACGGAAGGATAGACGGTGAGTCGGTTGTCAAGCAGCTGAGTAGGCTGCAAGCCCCTGACCTGCCGCCCATTGATGAGGAGCTTTAGAACATTGGCATCAGGCAGGAGGTTCGGGTACATGTTCAGGACAACTGGGTGCTGCAGCAAAGGTTCAATTAATGTTTTTGTGATGAGTAGTGCCATCCAAGGTCTGAAAAACATATTGCTTGAGTTAGAGTCATACGACGAATTACAGCTGCCTCCTTACCGGCAGGACGAGGTTCGAGCCGCGGAGACGGCCCTCGCTTCTGCACGAGTGGATTATCGAGCATTGTTGTTGCACCATAAGATGAGTGTCGAGAAATGTATCGAATCTCTGGAGCGAGCTGAGATCAGTAGAGGCGAGGGCCAAGGTAACCGAGTCAATTCGGGCGAGGACGAAACCCGTCAGCCTCCTACAGTTGAGGAACTGAAGCGGTTGTGTGTAATGCCGGATGTGGCGCTATGTGTCATGACCAGTAGGTATCAACAAATCGATCGGGGACTTCGCATCTACAGATTTAAACGTACCGCACGACTTGTCAATGTCGCTCTGACATTATCCCTTAATAAAGCGCAAACCATCGACGACTCGCTAGCTGCCAAGATGAGCACGGCCGAACAACAACTTCTTGCAAAATTGCTACAAATTCTCTCAGAATACGGCTTGTACGAGAAGATGAAAGATCTGCCAAAACATGTAACACCTCCCCCC